TGTGGATGCCCATCAGTAACACTGCCGGTACCTGCTTGTACTTGCTAGCGGTCATGTCAGCGCAGAGGTTCACCAACCCCGAGGGGTCCACAAAGACCACTTCGAACGCCTGGTGGAAGTCGGCCAGGGTGGGCTGGAAGAGAGAGCATGCGGCTTAGCACCCACCGAGATACGTGCAGCAACAAACTCTGCGCTGCCCGGCCCCTTAGCGTAACAGTGACTTGCAAACGCGGAGCACAGCCCATGTGCCACGCAGGCCATCCACCCGCGCAGCACAGTGGGCAGGGGGGGTATTTGCATCACTGGACAGAGAAGACGAAGGCATGGCAGTTAAGTGACTGAGTCAACAGCGGAGCCAACAACAGAACCCAGGAGTCCCTACCCCGCCCTAGCCACCAGACCATGCTGCCAGGGGCCACACTTGCTCCTTACCAGCGAGCTATCTGTGTCCTTCAACAGGCTGATCCCAGCTGCACTCAGGTCTGTGGTAGCTGTGAACAAAGAAAGGGTCAGTGCTCTGTGCTGCGGGGAGTCTATCCTACCGCACCCCGGGACTGGGCTGTAAAATACTCTCCCTGTACAGCCATTTCACTCTGAGGGCGAGGCTCTAGGCTGCATTTTGCTGCAAGTTTCCAGACCATCAAATCAACAGGACTGTCGTGGTTTCTCTCTCTCTAGAGCTCAAATCACAGGGCATCATCCTGCCTTCACCCCAGGGTGGGGGCTACACAGGATCTGGCTGGTCTTGCTCAGGATTTACCTGTCTGCCATAGGACATTTAACTGGGGATCCTACAAGGACAGAGGCATGTCTGTCCTCCGGGCCCCTCCAAGCCCAGCCAGGGCTGCGCGGCGCACAGAGATTTATGCACCAGCCTAACACCGTTGGGTTCTAGGCTCAGCTGTGATCCAGGCCAAAGGTGCTGCCAACGCCACCTTCCCTGCCCCGAGAGCCACCGGGGAGCTCACCCAGGAACTGCAGAACGCTCCTCAGCACCTGGTAGCCGCTCATCCCCTGGCTGATCTTGTGCTTGGCCAGCAGGTAGGCAACCAGCATGGAGGCCACGAAGCCATTGAGACACCCCAAGCCCTGTTGGGAGACAAGACACAGAGCTAGGGCAAGCTCCAGGCCTGCCCTGGAGTCACAGGGAACTCACAGAGCCCGAGAGCACGCAGCCTGATGATTCCCTGCAGGGCCGGGCTCAGCTGAGTAACGACGCCAGCTTCTGCTGCCCTTCGCCCAGCGGCGCCGGCACGGGTGCCCTTGTCTCTTGGACCACTCCAGGGATCTAAGCGCCTTTCATCTCTCATGACTCCAAAACCCCTTCCCCAGGGAGCCAGCAAGGGAACGTAGCAGGGCCGGGCGCTGACGCCAGAGACTGCCACTGGACCCTGACTGCAGACAGAGGGCGGGCTGAGGCCCTGCCTGCCCCAGGGCAACACCCTGCAGTTCACACTTCCCCAGCCAGGGGAGCGAACCAATCGCTTGGACTAGTCTGAATCGAGCATCATGGGGATCTTGAGGGACCAGAGACCAGACAGTTCAACCTCAATGGAGCAGTGACCCTGCACACCCTCCATTCCTATCTACAGAGCAAGGACCCTGGGGCAGGAGGGAGCTACTGGAGATCAGCAGGGAGCATACCAGGCTGGTACGCCTCCCACACACACACCAAAGGCAGAGCGGGCCGGGGACAATGCACCCCCGTCCCTTCCCCACACCTCATGTGGGAATAAAAGAGGCCAGGCCCCGCACACGCACTGGGGTCGAAGGGGCGGGGCAGAGCTGAGCAGGCCAGCGCACCCCCGACGAGGCTACCTTGTCGAGCTCCCGCTGGTGCAGCCAGACTTTGAGGAGGGCGACTCCGTCCCTCATGCCGGGGAAGTCGGCGCCAGCGCCGGCAAGGAAGAGCAGGTTGGATTCCAGCCCCGTGTCGCAGAGGATGGAGTTGTTGTAGTGAGGAGTGGGGGGCTCGGCGGCTCCTGGGGAGGGAACAAGGCAGACCGACCCAATCAGACGAGTTACCGGCACTTTTAACCGAATCCAACCCTCCGCATCCTTCCCAGTTAGAGGCTCCCAGCGCTGCGAGGGGCTGGCTGCAGAACCTGCCGCCCCTTGCAGCAGAGCACTGCAGCGGGGGCTGGCTGCAGACTGTAGCTGGTGCTGCCTTGTAGGCTCCCCTACCTGCCTTCCCAGCTTTGTGGGGTGGGAGCAGCAAATTGCTATTTCCCCATCAGGGTGGGGGA